AGACCCCATCCACAGAACACTACCAAACATCTGGAACCGTACCGAAAGAATAAGAATCGAGTGTAAATAAATCAATCGGTTTATAGTAGCTCAAGATAAAAATGTTGGATGTTGGTCCCAAGGACGCAATCATGTCGATCACTGGCGAAATGCATTAAGTATTGCTGATATTTTAGTTCCGATAACGGGAATGATTCGCCTTGACGTTATTTTTCCTTGTGGCTGGATTTGTGGTTCAGTCCACAATTGTTCTCTTCTAGTGCTGATATTATCCCATATATTTTTGGTTCTGCAGAGTCTTTCATGATCGAATTGACGATTATTTATGACAGTTTCATTTTAGTCAAGAAAAAAATTATCCACAAATATAATAGTTGACCCTCACTAATGATAACCAATATCATATTTATTTACTTGAGTTGTTGGTGTTTGATTAGAATTATGAGTCTAATAGAAATATTTCATCAGGTAAATTGACAATGAATACTAGCCATGACAAAGTACATTGTTAAATGTAAAATAGAACTGAACAAATCGAACTGATAAAACTAATTCACCAAGTCATCAAACTTTATTCATTGAAGTGTAAAGAATGAATGATTTCACACGTGAATTATTTATTATTCAGTTGTTTTAATTTACTGTTAGATCTGGTCATTCATTTAAACTGAATGACACTTAACATGATCTAGACAGTGATTGATGAAATGGTGACCTTGACCTGCACACACTCTGAAGCTATTCATGTCATTACTGGTACAAATAAAAGTTTGAAAGAGGAGAAGAGTGGAATACTCCGTTAATATACACCCGAAACTGAAAGAGGAATAGGGGGAATGCGATTTTATCTTGATATCCCTCACTTGATACAAAATAGTTTGTGACGATTCATTTTGAATTTTTTAATATTTCAACCACACAAATTATAAACTTAAGTTCTCACATAAGTTTATTTGTAGAACTACCATGTGTTCATTGAGTTTTACTTGAATGAATGGTTGGTAGATCACCATCATAAACCTGACAGCACTGGATTGCTGTTTAGTTGTGATATGGGATTCATCAGTGGTGCGTATATGCGACTCCTGCTACTCTCAGGATTTGAACCTAGTACCTTCGGGCTAGTGAGTGACCGTGGATGCGGTGATAAATCCCGTATCAGGACGAAACGGCCTTCTAGTGCTGGACTAACAATGTCTTATATTCATGATTTTAATGTGAAACAACGATCTTCACTATACTATAATACGAAAATTCATGAAGTTACTGTTTATTTTTGAATTTACACTATTTTATACTACTTAATAATACTTTTAAGTAATATAATGGCCAGTGCGTTTAATTAAATTGCAATTTTTGAAGAAATATATGTATTTTTATATGTTGAAGAAGACAAGAATGAAAGTAGACAATGAAAAGATTGTTTTGTTTTCTTTTACATAAAATAAACAGAAATAGTACACGTATCAAGATCACAATTTTGTTAAATTCTATGAATTTTAACACATCATTTGGCTTAAATAAATACACGCATAACCGCTCACAGTTTTTAATCAGCCATAAACTGTACAGCTAAAGCTTTAAAAAGGCAGAGAGACAGAGAGACGTGAAGAAAAAAAATTCTACAGTGGGCGGCTACATTTCATCTTCTCTATGGAAGATTGGATGGTTAAAAAAAACGACAACAACGGAAACATTAGAAAACGAAGTCGTGATCTTCTATTTTTGACTGTAAATGCAGTACGACAACTTCAGAGAAATGACCAAAAATTAGTGCTATCTACCGAAATGTTTCAGTCAAATCAGTACATTTTGTTTTTAATATTATTCAGATAAGTTTCATACCATTGTCGCAATCTGTTTCAAACATCCTACATAGTTTGTAATAAGAGCAACACGTAGAATGACACCACTATTCACTGCTCTGTTTGTTTTGTTACTTCAGATGTAACAATATTTTTGAAAATATCTAATTTTTTGATGAAAAAATCTTTTTGTCCAAAACTTTTTTGTCTAGACTTCTAAGATGAAGAATGAACATCATCTAGAGTACCGACTAATGTATGCCATGGCTGATTTTGATGTTTCATATTCCGATTTATAGCCTACTCATAGCAATCATCAATGACACCATCATTGAATCAAGGGAGAAAGAATAGAAACAACTAACTAGACAATGCATTTTATTGACTGACTAAGAAATTGAGAAAAGGAGAAAAAAACTTTTCACACAGAATTAGCCTAATTTGATAGTGACATTCACCGACCGCCTCCTCAAGTGTTGTGTTGATGTTGTGTTTCGTCTTTTTCATCTCTTGGCCATTTTGATGTTGAATTTTTGAAGCCTCTATCCTATAACTCAGCCACACATACACGCACACGTTTATTTTTTCTGTATACAAAACAAGATTTTTACAGGAAGACGGTAAAAAATAGCAAGTGATATTATGCGACAGTATGATGTATTTTTAAAATTATTCCGACAATGAAATATTTAAATTTGAATGAAAAGTCTAATTTATTTCGAATGTGAACTAAGTGGTTGAATAAAATAATTAATCAGTCAGTGTCTGAATGAAAATTGTCCATGATGTATAACGTGTTTTGAAAAGTATTCATTACTATCCGACAGTA